TTAGGATCACAAAGAGCAGGTTTAGGATCACAAAGAGCAGTTTAGGAGCAGGTTAGGATCACAAAGAGCAGGTTTAGGATCACAAAGAGCAGTTTAGGAGCAGGTTAGGATCACAAAGAGCGGGTTTAGGATCACAAAGAGCAGTTTAGGAGCAGGTTAGGATCACAAAGAGCAGGTTTAGGCTCACAAAGAGCAGGTTTAGGCTCACAAAGAGCGGTTTAGGCGCGGGTTTAGGCGCGGGTTCAGCCGTACCTGAGATATCCACCACCTTGATGGCCGAGGCGCGCGGGAACTTCTCCCGCAGCCGCTGCTCCAGGCGCGACTCCCCGGCCGTGCCCGAGGCCAGACCCCGCCAGCAGCGGCAGCGCAGCCAGAGCTGGGGACGGGAACGGCTGAGGGACCCCGAAACAGCCCGGGAACGGGAACGGCGCCGAGGGACCCCGAAATACCCCGGGAACGGGAAAGGGAAGGGAAGGGAAGGGAAGGGAAGGGAAGGGAAGGGAAGGGAAGGGAAGGGAAGGGAAGGGAAGGGAAGGGAAGGGAAGGTGCCGGTACTGGAGGAGGCAGAAGAAGCTGCGGCAAACCGGGAGATGAGATGGGACTGAACCGGGAGATGATGGGACTGAACCGGGAGATGATGGGACTGAACTGGGAGATGAGATGGGACTGAACCGGGAGATGAGATGGGACTGAACCGGGAGATGATGGGACTGAACCGGGAGATGGGACTGGACCGGGAGATGAGATGGGACTGGACCGGGAGATGGGACTGGACCGGGAGATGAGATGGGACTGGACCGGGAGATGATGGGACTGGACCGGGAGATGAGATGGGACGGGACCGGGAGATGATGGGACTGGACCGGGAGATGATGGGACTGGACCGGGAGATGATGGGGCTGAACCGGGAGATGATGGGACTGGACCGGGAGATGATGGGACGGGACCGGGAGATGAGATGGGGCTGAACCGAGAGATGAGATGGGACTGAACCGGGAGATGGGACGGGACCGGGAGGAGGAGCGCTGGGAACGGGAGCTGCCCTCACCGGAGGATCGCGGGCTGGGGCGCGGCGGTTTGGGGGTTCCCTGTGCCCGGGGGACACCGGGAGCAGCGGAAGCACCGGGAGCGGTACCGGGGAAAGGGGAACACCGGGAGAGGGCGGGAAGGGGGAGAGCGGGGAGGGGAGAGGGCCGCGCTTACCGGCAGCGGGGGGACAGAGGGACAGAGGGACACGGGGGCAGAGGGACAGAGGGACAGAGGGACAGAAGGACACGGGGACAGAGGGACAGAGGGACACGGGGGCAGAGGGACAGAGGGACAGAAGGACACGGGGACATTGGGACAGAGGGTCACGGGGGCAGAGGGGCAGAGGGACAGAGGGACACGGGGACAGAGGGACAGAGGGACAGAGGGACAGAGGGACACGGGGGCAGAGGGACAGAAGGACACGGGGACAGAGGGACAGAAGGACACGAGGGCAGAGGGACAGAGGGACACGGGGACAGAGGGACAGAGGGACACGGGGGCAGAGGGACAGAGGGACAGAGGGACACGGGGGCAGAGGGACAGAGGGACAGAAGGACACGGGGGCAGAGGGACAGAGGGACAGAGGGACACACGGACGGACGGCCTCGGGCCCGCCCTCACTCACCGGGGCCCGGCCCAGCGCCGCCGCCATGCCGGGGGCGCGCCCGCTCACCTCCGCTCAGCCAATCAGAGCGCGCCGCTGCAGAGGGGGCGGGGCCAGCGCCGCCACAGCGCCCCCTGGCGGCTCGGAGGACCCGGGGGGCGGCGCCGCCCCAAGGGCGCCACAGGTCACCCAAAAAACCCAAATTGACCCAAAAAGACCCAAACTGACACCAAAAAACCCAAACTGACACCAAAAAAACCCTAATTGACACCCAAAAAACCCAAATTGACCCAAAAAAACCCAAATTGACCCAAAAAAACCCTAACTGACACCAAAAAATCCCAAATTGACCCAAAAAAACCCGAACTGACCCCAAAAAAACCCAAACTGACCCCCAAAAAACCCAAATTGACCCAAAAAAACCCGAACTGACACCCAAAGAAACCAAAACTGACATCCAAAAAACCCAAACTGACACCAAAAAAACCCAAATTGACCCCAAAAAACCCAAACTGACCCCAAAAAAACCCAAACTGACACCAAAAAACACAAACTGACCCCAAAAAAAACACAAACTGACCCCAAAAAAAACCCAAAATGACCCCCCCAAAAAATCCCTCCTGCCCCCACAAAAAGCCCCATCCTTACCCAGAGGAGTCCCCACACTCAGAGCCCCCAACCCCAAAAACCTCAACCCCAAACCCCCCAAAAACCTCAATCCCAAAAACCCCAAAAAGCCCAAAACTCCCAATCTCAAAACCCCAAAAACCCCAAAAACCCCAAAAAACCCAAAACCCCAAACCCCAATCCCAAAACCCCAAAAACCCCCAAAACCAAAACCCCAATCCCGCAGGAACTGCAGCCGAGCCTCGTGTTGAGTGCAAAAAATAAATATAAAATTTATTAAAACACCCACAATATTTTAAAGGTATCGGGAATAATAACACAGCCCAACTCAGAATCAAATACGAATGAAAAATAAACAACAACAGAACAAAAAAACCCAAAAAAACAAAACCAAAACCGGGGGGGAGGGGGGAAGGATCCGAACTTGCCATTTTTAGGAATCCTAAAAAATAAATTTATTGAAACACTGGGGGAAAGCAAAGGAGGGCAAAGGGGAAAAACAACACAAAAAGGGAAAAACGATACAAAATAAAATAATCGGCATCAATTTCCCGTCCTAGGAGTATCTACAGTTTAATTACACGTTAATTAATTCATTCATTAATTAATCCTATTGCCTTGAGACGTGGGGAAAGTTCTAGCGCTCCTCGATCCGCCCCCAGAACTTCATTTCAAGTAACCCCAGCCAGGAACCCGACGGGATTTGGGATCCCCCGGTGCCTCCGCGCAGCTGCCACGGCCCCGGACAGCCCCAAAACCACCCCAAAAACACCCCAAAAACATCCAAAAACCATCCCAAAAACATCCCAAAATAAACCCCAAACAGCGCCGGAACAGCCCCAAAAACACCCCAAAAACATCCAAAAATAAACCAAAAACATCCAAAAACCATCCCAAAAACATCCCAAAATAAACCCCAAACAGCGCCGGAACAGCCCCAAAAACACCCCAAAAACATCCAAAAAACACCCCAAAAACAGCGCCGCAACAGCCCCAAAAACACCCCAAAAACATCCAAAAATAAACCAAAAACATCCAAAAACCATCCCAAAAACATCCCAAAAACACCCCCAAACCATCCCAAAAACCATCCCAAAATAAACCCCAAACAGCGCTGGAACAGCCCCAAAAACACCCCAAAAACATCCAAAAATAAACCAAAACCATCCAAAAACCATCCCAAAAACATCCCAAAAACACCCCAAAAACCATCCCAAAAACACCCCAAAAACATCCAAAAATAAACCAAAACCATCCAAAAACCATCCCAAAACCATCCCAAAAACACCCCAAAACCATCCCAAAAACATCCCAAAATAAACCCCAAACAGCGCCGGAACAGCCCCAAAAACATCCCAAAAACATCCAAAAATAAACCAAAAACATCCCAAAAATATCCCAAAAACACCCCAAAAACATCCCAAAAACATCCAAAAATAAACCCCAAACAGCGCTGGAACAGCCCCAAAAACATCCCAAAAACATCCCAAAAATATCCCAAAAACATCCCAAAAATATCCCAAAAACACCCCAAAAACACCCCAAAAATAAACCAAAAACATCCAAAAACCATCCCAAAAACACCCCAAAAACATCCAAAAATAAACCAAAAACATCCAAAAACCATCCCAAAAAC